GTGTGTGTGTGTGTGTGTGTGTGTGTGTGTGTGTGTTCGTTTAAACTGTGGAAAAATGAGGGAAGTTTAAACCCTCCCCTCGCCAACATTTGTTTTTTTCCGTGTAATAATTTATTTCCGTTTTATTGTCTTCAGTAATCGGTTTCAGATCTTAACCCTCGGCTAAAAAAACGTTTTAAAACCTGCCGAACGACAACAGATCGTCTTTATCTTCACTCGTTTAAACTCTGGTCTGCAGTGTTGTCACGTTAAAGAGATTAAAGGAGAGAGCCGGTGAAAGGGTTGAGCAACAGTTTGAGCAGCGACTCATTCAGGCGGTGCATGTCTGACTTTGACTCGTATTTCATGAGAAGGTGCAGCTCGCAGTTTTACATGTCTGCCTTTCGCTTTGTCACGCTGAATAAACACGTTAAACACGCTGCCAACGCCACGGATAGTTTCATGAGCTCAGGTGTGGGCACGAGGCCAGCAGGTAAAACGTCCAACATGACAACTAATTAGCTTCAAACTGAAACTGAAAAAAAACAGCTAAAACTCAGTCAGTTTTACAGGTATTAAGCTAAGATCTGGTGTGGTCAGATTTGTAAAGTAACAAGTACAAATACTTAGGTACTATAGTTATGTAGAACGTTTGGGTATTTGTATTTTATTTGAGTAATTATATTTCAGCCTACTTTTTACTTCTACTAATTACATTTTCACACAGTTATCTGTACTTTCTACTCCTTTCATTTAAAAACACAAGAAGTATACAGTTGTTACTTTTATTTTGTTGTTGCTTGTTTTCATTCCAGCTTGTTATTGTAAAAAAATAAAATCTATCCATATAAATTGTGCCTCCTAGATAGAGTGAATTTAACTGTGGTTGAATGAGAAGTATAAATATATAAAAACTCTGATAGTGTATTAGTTTGTACACAAACAAATCATGTCACACTCCAGCAGGACATAATCATTCAAATAAAAGGACTGTACTTAAGAAGTATTTGTATTTCATGAATTATATTATTAAATTTGGCCGCAGCCCTCAGATAGATTTTCATTTTGGGGAAAAGCTTTGGTCAGCCTGGATATAAACTGAAACAGCTGGACTAGTGCATCCTAAATTTAACATTAATTAATTATTTTAATACAATATAGTCATTTTTTGGAGGGAGATCACCTCCTAATACATGTCCTTACAGAAAATCTAACTGCTCATTTTAAATCAATACTTTGACTTTTAATACTTAAGTACAAAAATATCAGGGGTCTCATTTATAAAGGATTGCATGGAAACCATACTAAAAGTGAACGTACGGCCAAAAGGCAGAAATGGCGTACGCAAAAAAAATTAAGATTTATAAAACCGTACGCACGTTTCTGCACATCTTTCCTTTATAAATCACAGCCGCACGTCAGAGTTTGCGCATGAGTTCCCGCCTCAGGTTCTACCCTCTACACGCCCACACTCAACCATAAACAGTCAATGTAAAGTACCTCATGAATGTTAAGATGTATTTAAATCAGTCAGATGATCAGTGATTGGTTCAGACACGCTCCGTCATGTGTCTGGAGGATGACGGGTGCTGACTGACAGCTGCTCACCTGAACAGAATATCTGTAAATGACACAGATTTTCCCTCATTTTGCTTTAGAGTAATCTAACGATTTTTATATTTAAAAAATACTCAGCTTCAAATTAATTTTCTCTCAGAGCCTGCAGGATGATAAAAACAATAAAAATTTAATTAAATAAGTCAGATAAAATTAGAAATAAGTCCACCGCTCTTCTCCTCGTCCTCTCCCCCTCCTGCCTGCTCTGTTATCCGCTGCAGACATCCCCGCCTCGCACACACACACACACACACCCGCACGCGCACGTGACAAATACGGACTTTAAACGTGAAGGTTTAAAACATTCACACTGGTGAGGTGGATGCGCCCTGCACGTGTATCCAAAGCGTGACTTTTGCTGTCCTGCTGTTCTTGTCAGGGAGGGGTCTGTGGGTCAGGGAGGGGTCTGTGGGTCAGGGAGGGGTCTGTGGGTCAGGGATGGGTCTGTGGGTTAGGGAGGGGTCTGT